ACTTTATCAATACTATCTGTCAGACCAATAATTATCCAACAATGTTATAAGAAAATACCAACGTTAATGTTATTCGTGCGTGTTATGACATTAACTTTATCAATACTATCTGTCAGACCAATAATTATCCAACAAAAACATTAACGACACAAACAACAGTAACATTATAGAAGCAACAACAACATCCACAACAACTGCAGCTGTATTGTAACTAGCAGTAGCAGCAGCAGCAACATCAGCCACAAAAAAACCTCGTAGTGTTGGTCTCGAAAACTCCACTGTCAGAGCCAACACACGAACATTCATCACTTGCGGTTGTCGATGAGGATAGCGATAGAGCACTGTTACTTTTAAGATTGGTGCTACTGGTGTTGTGACTGCTGATGTTGATGTTGTTGCTGCTGCTGTTTCTGTTTTTGAAGCTGTGGGCGTTGTAGTCGTCGACGATGTTGTCGTACGATGTGAACGATTTCACCCGCTTTGCTGAGGTTAATGCCGTTCTTTGAAAATGCGGTTGTTGTTGCGTTGTGGTTGTTGTTGATGTTGTTACTGTTATGTTGCTGGACTGAGTTGCAAATTGCACAAATTGTTGTTGTGGTTGTTGTAGTTGCTGTTGCTGCTGTTGCATCAGCCAATTTTCGTCGACGCCGAATTCAGAAAGTAGTTTTCTGGTGATTGGTGGCAGTCGGTCGAACTGCAGTCTTCCATTATAAAAGTTTGTTTTGTATGTTTGATCTGAAAAGCGCTGCTGCTGCTGCTGTCGGAGTGGTTGCAGTAGTAACTGCTGTTGCTGCTGTTGTTGCTTGAATATCTGACCGTCTGAGCCAGAATTTGTCATGGTAAGATTTGATGCCGGGTTGAATAACGATGGGAAACTATTTGAAGATAATGTTGTTGTTGCTGTTGCTGCTGCTGTGTTTAAAAACGTTACTGCTGTTGGCATTATTGTTGTTGTTGTATATGAAAATGTTGTTTGTGGTTCGAGGTTGTAGTGAAAATTTTTGTTGGCTAATAATTCTAGCGGGTAACAAAACTCCGGCCGAGGTAGCAAGTTGTAAGTTGCCGGCAACATATTTGTTGCAAGAGATGTTGATGATAGTTGCTGAAATTTTTGCTGAGGAAGAGATTGTTGCAAGCATTGTTGAGATGTTAATTTGTTTTGTTGCACGTTTTGAATGTGTTGCTCGTATGATGGTGGTGGTCCTTGAACGTTTGATTGTCGACGTTGCTGCTGCTGCTGTTGCTGGTGGTGGTGTAGTTGTAGTTGTTGCATAACCTGTTGAGATATTTGTTGTTGTTGTTGCCGTCGTTGTAAAACATTTTCATTGCTCAGCAACATATTTTCTGCGCATCCAACAATTTCCCCAGGATCATTGTTGAAATCATCATCACATTCCTGGAGAAAGCCTTCATCTCCATCTTCATTTTCATCCTCTTCGACCAAAGCGCCATCGTCGTCATCTTCAGGATAATCATCATAATCGTACTGGTCGTTACGGAAGTTGTCTGGATGGGAGCTGTAATCAGTTGATGCTAATGGGAGGTAGGAGTTGTTGTTGATGTTGTTGCCTGAGTACGTGGAGTTGGTTGCACCTATTGTTGTGGTTGTCGTTGAAAAGTGAACTGATTTTTGATGTTGCTGATGTTGCTGCAATGGTTGATTTGGTTGATATTGTTGTGGTTGTTGTTGATATTGCAAACAATCTTGTTGCCGTTGTTGTTGCTGCAAATTTTGTTGTTCTGAATGTTGTTCGTACGTGTGAACAATTTGGTTCACCTTGTTTTGCAGATCTTGAATCGCCATCTGCAAATATGTAAACATAAACATTTTAACTACTGCATCTAGCGCAATAGTATGATGGGGCAGCGCGCTGGTGAAGTGGTTAAGGTGCCTGGCACTGGTGCTGGTGTTGCAATGACAGGGTTCAAACGCGAGAGATCCCTCCTATCACATGCAGTGTGTGAAATGCGTTGATCCACGCATGCTTACAAACACTGTGTGTTTTATTTGTTGCTCATACTACTGTTGAAACTCAAGAGAGGATGGTAATAAATAAATAAATAAACTGATATAAACAAATACATAAACAAAACACAATAAATAATAATAGTAATAAAAATAATAGTAGTAATGACCTTGTTGTAATATGGAGGCCAAGGGTATGGATCAGAGGGATTGAGGGATGCCATGGATCCCTTGCTACTGCCCGCCGACAGGCTGCCCAGTGACCCCAAACTAGATGAACTTGACATTGAGGTCGTGCTGTTTGAGAGGCTGTGTGATGATGAGGATGATGATGATGAGAAGGAGGAGGAGGAGGAAGATGATGATGGTGATGATGGAATGATGGTGATGGCGAAAAAATGTTGTGCCAATAATTACTATTTTATTTGGTTCTCTAGCAATGAGCTGCG